CTCCTCCTCCTCCTCCTCTTCCTCCTCCTTCTACTTCTTTTTAATTAATAAAGAAACAAAGCTTTTATTTTCCTAATAAAAGACATAAGATCCAACAAATCTAGCAGGTATTTCAAGGCTTAACAATCCGAAGGTTCAAACTCACTCCACTGGCACTGAAGTTCTTCAGCAGACTATCAAGATCTCGCAATTGTGTTTTCTTCATTTACAAATTCGTTCCCACCCTCCACTGTTCCTTTGCACAAATAATTCTCAACAGGAAAACCTCTCCTTGGTCACAATGTGGATTGCTGTCTCAAGCAAGGAGATCCACAGTTTCCACTTCTCTAAGGGAACATTCAAAAAAGCTATGGGTTAGGAAAGGCTGCTTTTGTCTTATTTTGCAAGTCAATTTCAAACCAAACCCTTTGCAGCTGCAGCTTAAGGGATGCTGCCCCTGGCCGTTCACAGCCCCAATTTGACAGGGCACCAGTGTCATGCTCCGCACTGCAAGTAGTTAAGGGCTGGGGGTAGGGGCAGCAGACTGAAACACTGACACTCCTAAATCCACCTTATTGCCAGCCTCACACCTTTGGGTAGCCGGGGTGAGGGGCAAACGGCCTCTAAGGAGAGAACAGGTTCGTTGCCATCCCAGGGCTGACTGGAAAGGGGCTCAGCTCTTCCCCGCCCAACCCAGGGAAGACCAAGAAGGATGACAGCAAGGCCCGGAGACTCACTAGGACCGAACCCCTCCAAGGATACCAGGCTGCGCAGGACCCAAGGAGCCCATTGCACCCGGGGTATAAAGGACAAGAGGCTGCTAGCCATGGCCCCCAGAGAAGAGGCCTCTCCTGGCCCAATTCGCTCTATGTGCTCGGGTTCGCTCCCCTGGTCATAGTGGTGAGGGACTCCGGGGTAGGACCAGACGAGGGGCACTCCTCCCCAGGCTGCACCTGCAGGGCTTGGGAGTCCTCACAACTGCCAGGACCCCAAACCGCCCGGAGCCGCCATCTTCCTCCACTCAAACGCCGCCGCTGCTGCTCAGCTATGGCTGTGAGAAGTCAGGTGTCACTTCTGAGAAGCCCAACCTATTCCTGAAAGGACTGGAATGGCTCTGAGCTCTGAATTTCTACCTGTTTCCTGGAACCCTCCCAACTTGGGCAGCTCCTTTTGATGTTGTGCATTCCACGTCTGGTGATACCTTTTGCCTATACTGTTGTGCTCCCTGAATTCAGGCCACTTCCTCACTATTATTTGCAGTCTCCTGCCTTGGACCTCTTAAGCTACACATCTGAAGGTCCTGTGGAAGTCATAGCTGTGGACTCTCAAGGCCAACTTTCCTAATAGGAAATTTCTTAGAATCAATATCCTCTATAATCTGAGAGACTTGAGAATCTTCCAAACATCAAATTACTTACATAGATTTTACACACTGCTGGCTCAAAAGTTCCCTTTCCAAAGCCCAGAAGCCTCAAATCAGAAGGTCAATAGGTACAATAGTGAAGGTGTGGAAGGTGTGTTGCTCCCCTACATGCTCCAAAGTTGGACCCTGACTTGACCTTGCTTCCTGTGCTTGTCCCATCGCTTGCCTCCCTGGCTGTCTTCATAGGCTCTCACTTCTGTGCTAAATTTCCTCTACCTGCCTCACAAAATGATACTTGAGATGACATTTAAAGCTCATCTAATTAACTCCCATAATCTCCCCCACATCAATTCCTAGGTTTATTTAAAATGAATACTGAGACATTGGAAAGAGGGAAGTAAAAACACAAAGGAGAGAGACAAATTGGGCAAAAGTCTAGTTATTGGTTTAGAAAATGTGTGTTTCGACAGTTCCAGGTAGGGCTGCCAAAACTAATGCCACACTGCCCAGGCCATCAAAATAAAATTAACCATGAGAAACTATCATTATGGAAAGGAGCCAAGCAGATTTCATGATGTCTATAGTTGGATTTGATTTGTGTTCCTTAATATGCAAGTGTGGAAATGCAATCGCCACTGTAGGAAGTGAAGAGATTGGGGTATAATTCACACTCACTAGGAAGTAGACATAAAAGTGTGTCAACAAGGGGCTCCTGGACTAACAGGCTCTTGGATTTTTCTAGAGAGGCTCCACTTTTTCCTTACTGTGAGAACTGATATAGGCACTCCAAGTGATCCCCACTGCAATAATTTACTGCACAGCTGTCTCAGTTTGTTTCTGCACTTTTAACAAAAAAGCACAGTCTACATTATTATTACTAAGTAAAAAACAAAGTGTTTCTCACAGTTTGGGAGGCCAGGAAGAGCACCAGATATCAGAAGGTTCAGAATCAGATTTGCCTCAAGGTTATTGATGTGGGATCTTCACATAGTGGAAGGGATGGAAGGGAAAACAGGATGTGGCTAATTCCTCCATAATCTCTTTTTTATGTACTGGGCTCATTCTCAAGAACAGATTGAATGACATCCTAAAAGCTTCACCTCTGCATACTGTCTCCTCTTGCTTTAGGTTCTGACTTATGATTTAGTAGAGGTTTATACATTCAATCCACAGCAGAAGCCATACGTGAAGGATCTTCCTACCCCTTCAGATGACCCTGGGAGAAGCAGGCTCCACCTTCAAGGGCAGTGTTCCAAGGTGAGAAAATAACAGAATAAGGGGATCAGTAGTTTTCTAGATAAGTGTGACAAGAAGGACATAAAACTTTACTAGAAAAATTTCAATGGGACCATTTTAATGACTTTTAACAGACAAAGGTTAAAAGACTTCTAAAAAAGGTACAAGAGACAACAGGAATCACTTGATAATAACCTTAGAGACTTAGATTCACAGAGAGAACACAGAAAGTGCCAGGCACATGAATCCAAAAAAGCTGACATAGCTGTCCCTCTCTGTCTTCAATAAAATACAGTGAAACACAGGTGGGAGGGGAGCCTGATTAAATTTGAAGAAAGCTTATTTAATCTGAATAAATAAATAAATAAATAAATATTCCAGAGTCACTACAGTGAGATACTATTTATTCACACATTCCCTTACTAACTCTCAGCTAACACTAAATAAGAAACCTCCTTTCCAAACAGTTGTCCATTGCAGAAACAAGGCCCTGTGAAGGACAAATAAATAAGCAGACCAACAATGTTACACATAAACCACAGTAAGAAATGTTGAAGGCAAGGGTACATGGTCAAATTCAAAGACATCCCAGGGAACCTATGTGGTTATGACAAGTTACAAGTAAATAAAATTAAAAAAGAAGAGAAGGCTCAAATTTCCTCCAGTATTTCAGAGCCCAGCTTCCCAATTGCTATCAGGGTAGTTATCTTTCTTCTTTGTTGTCTACCTTTATATTAAAGTGTCTATCTCTGTAACTTTTGATCTTTATCACTCAGGTTGATATACCCTGAAGTTTTATCTTTCAAAATGAATGGAGAGAAAAGATACTTCCACAAGAAATAACAACTGAAGAAATTCATAACCACCAAAACAACCCTCCAAAGAGTACTGGAAGATATTATGGACAGAGATAAAAATGACCACAATTCCAAGAACAACAAAAGAAGAAAGCCACCCTGCAGGGCAAGAAATTAAACAGAGGGGAGAAGTAGGAAATCAACAGCATGTTGATAACATGATAAAGATAAGCCAAACATATCAGTTATAACCATTGATATAAATGGCCTTAATTTACCAATCAAAAGAAACAGACTGTCAGAGTGGATCAAGAAACAAAATCCAACAATTCTTGTATACAAGAAACACATTTAACTCAAAAGGAAATTCATAGACTGACAGTCAAAGGATGGAAAACAATACTCTATGCAATAGGAACCCTGAGAAAATTAGGCGTAGCTACTCTGTTTTAATACAATTTGAACTGCAAACCAAGAATGATCAAAAGGGATAAAAAGGTCACTACATACTTGTTTGTGGAAAACTGCAACAATCATAGATATATATGCATCCAATATGGAAGCACCCAAGTATATAAAATAATTTTTTTGGCGAAACTGGGGATTGAACTCAGGCCCTTGAGCTTGCCAGGCAAGTGTTTATTCTACTGAGCCATCTCCCTGACCCCATAAAACAAATTTTAAGAGACATGAAAAATCAAATAAGTAATCACCCAATCATAATGGGAGACATTAATGCCATATTGTCACAAAAAAGATAGATCAACTAGACAAAAAAAAATCAGTAAAGAAATTACATGACTAAACCAAAGCTATGAACACTGGTGGAGAATGTAAGGGAGAAATGCTGGAGACAGGGGAGGTAGAGAGTTCAAAAACCAAACTGCATGGAAAGAATCAGTGACTGAGCTCTCATCTTATTTAAAAGTTTTTGTTCATCAAAAAAAAATCACAAAAATGTAAAAAGAAAACCCACCAATTGGGAAAAAAATTTATCCAACTGTCCCTCAGACAAAAGACTTATATCTAGATCATATAAAGGAGTTTAAAAAATCAGGCCCCCAAATTAAACATGAGTTGATTTTTCAAAAATTGATATGCTTTAAGTATTTCCTATACATTAACAATTCTTTCACTATAATTATAGGGTTAGTTTGCTTTTCTGCTGTTGTTGGCAACCAGCCAAATTTAAAATATTTCTAGTCTGAGACCAAAACAGTGGAGTGCTTTAAAATCCAAGGGGGAAGAACTGTATATCTAATATTATAAAAATAAATTAGAGGAAGTGAGATAAAGAGGAGCACATAGGAAAGTTAGAAGTATAGAGTTTTGATGTGAAAGGAATTTATGTAATCAGTTATGCTTGCTTTGGTGGATTAACTTCAGGGTATCTTGTTTCACACAGCTGAACAAAATCATTGTGATTCTGGGTGTAAACTGGCGTTGGTGAGAATTTTTGCCGAGAGAATAAAAGAAGAGCTGGAGAAGATGGTGTGTTGTTGACTCATGCTGAGAAACTTGTCATCATGGTTTTCCTGAAATGAATTTATCTGAGGAAATTGAGTGGTTGCTGCCCCTGAGGATGGATGTGGTACTTTTTCGGGGAGACTTGGCCTTACCCTAACAGTCTCTTCTTGGATCCAGGGCAGCTCCCTCAGCCTTCTGGCAGAGGTCCTTCTTCTCACTGGCTCAGACTCTTAAGCTTCCCCCTCTGAGCTTCTGCTCTTTCCAGTGCAGCAGATCCTTGACACAGACTTACATATGACATTTGCATGATGGTAGGCCACCAATTGAACTCTTGAAAGACATTGGCGTGGGCACTAGGTCTTCAGTGGTGTTCATTCAGGACATTGCCATGGGATTCAGGGCTTCGGCTAGATATTTTGCGTCCCTAGTATATGGTCAGATCTCCAGCAGTTTTAAATTTTACTCTTAGTGAATATTATAAAATATCACAAAATAGGACTATAAACAATATGTCCTGTATGTCCCTTGTAAACAATGGCTCTGTCACTGTTTTTCATGTTGTCTTGTTTTAAAGATGTCTTTAATAACCTAAAAATTGGGACTGGGGATTTGGCTCAGTGGTAGAATGCTTGCCTAGCAAGCTGGAAGCCCTGGGTTTGGTCCTTTGCACCCAAAACAACAACAACAACAACAACAACAACAAAAACCTCCCCTAAAAAACACCTCCCCTAGTAACTTGAACACTGGTTGGAGACCCAACCTCTAAGTCTCACATATTGATTGTTTCCGATGCCCATATATTCAAGCATATTTTAATCATCTGAATTTCTATGTAAAACATTTCTATAGAATCCCATTCTTTTGTACGATAGTGATTTATATTTTGCATCTCATTCTTTAGTTCTACTAGATTTTTATCAGTGTTTTCATGGGATTTGCTAATCACGTGTTCCAATAGGCTCTTTTTGTAGTGCACAAAGAGTGCAACTGGAGGCCTCTCATGCAAGTCTGTGTCAAGGATCTGCTGCACTGGGAAGACCTGAAGGTCAAAGGGATAGCTTAAAAGTCTGAGCCAGTGGGACTGTATACATGTTCTTTAAATTTGGAAACACCTTGAAACTTACTTAGTAATTTTATGTCCATGCATACCCTTCCGGAAATTTTTGTTGTGTAGATTATGATTAACTACCTAGACCCACTGTGAAGGGTGTTGGGAGGTTGGGAAGTGATTCAAATCATGGAATACACAAAAAAGAATTGCTAGCCACAATTATGTCATACAGGCTATATTTTGGTAACCACCAAACATGCAGTCAAATATAAGCTGGATAGTGGCAAAATCTAAAATCACTTACAAATAGCCCTTTCTTCGAGCAAAGAGGTCTGTGACTATAGACACTTACATCACCTAGATATCAATTTATAATAACACAGACCACTAATTTCTGCAGGATGAGGGCAATAGTGTGAGGGATTAAGCATACCCCTGGACTAAGGGCCATCTTCAGACCAAATCCTTCTGAAAAGTAAACCCAACAAGCCAGGCTTGGCACCAAAGCACATCTGGTGCATGATCTTCTTGTACTAAGCCTGAGCTTCCCAGGGAATCCTCCTAGGATCCTCACCATCTCCAAACATGACTAACTTAATTTGAGTGGCAAGGTAATACTTCAGACCTGTAGAGATATACTCCTCCATGGTGTTGTTCTTATCCTCCATCTGGCTGTTCTTTGGTTGTCACCTCTGCTACCCTCTGCTGGTGGAAAAGTATTAGCAGAGCTGGCTAGGATTTTACAGTTTGGCAGTCTTTTCCTCCTCCATGCAGGTCACTTGAATCCTGGAATAAGAGTGGTACCTAGGGTATGTGGTGTGTGAGTCCTACCACTCACTGACTCCTGCAAGATCAAAGGAAACCTGCACGGGCAGCAGTGGTACTGAAGTGTGTGCAGCACAGGTGCAATCTCATCCGGCTTCCCGCACAGGCTGTGTGTGGTCTGGGCAAGTTCTGGCTGCAGCGCGGGGGCTGAGCACTCAGGTCCTCTCTCCTTCTGCTGCCCACACAAGTCCAACATGTCCGGGTTGTTGGCTTTTGATAAATGTGCCAAAATCTAGGAAGACTCTAATGTGAAGAACACAGTCAAATTTTTAGTAGGAGCACTTCACACTTGCTCTCATGCTTGTTGTGCTGGCTTCTTTAGTGCTTATAGTGTAAACAACTAGGCCACTTACAACTGCAAAATGCCAATCAGACTGCATGGACTCGTGGTTTATGCTCCAAGGTGGCACTTACTTTTTTCACGTATATTCACTGAAGTAATGTTTTTGTGGAGAACATCCACATATATTTAGAGATCTACCTTGGTGATATTAGGAGACATTTCTGGAAGTAAACCTGATGAATTCATGGACACATCTGAAAATTTAACTGAAACAATGAAGTTTACAGCCTCAAAAACATTTTCCAGTGAAACAGCTAAACCTACTCTTGGTGCTATTGTGAGGATTTGAAACAGATGTAAGAAATTATCCTCTCTTCACTCACAGGGAAAGGTTTCTGCATGAGTGGCTTCAGATGAGAAAATTATGACCATATCTGAAATTCCTGACCAAAGTTTCTCTACAAATATTATATTGTGATTAGACTCTATATGAGTCATTCCAAGTTAACTATGAGGGATTCTCTTTCCTCAGTTTTGAGAGAGTTTTGTTTTATACAGCATAACAAGGATTTATATTAGTATCTTGGATATATGTATGTTAAATAGAAAAATTGGTGTGATGGAGGGATTCTTACATACTCCTTGAAATCTGACTTAAGTGTCAATTAAATATTTATTATGTACTTGATATAATCAGGTATTACATACCTGGAAATTATCTGAGAATAATAACCTCAAAATTAAACACACAGTGACTACTGAGTTGGAAATTGCGTACAGGATTATTTAGGTTGCTTCTCTTTTCTCCAAAACTATGATGCTTT